ACAAATTAAAGTCCCATGTAATAACTGACGTACCAAATTAAGAGTTTAACTTAAAAAAATTTCCCTAAATCATTTTCCTTATCCTGCGCTATAAATTCCCCACCCACCACCGCCACCACCCCCACCAATGAAAAGTTGAACACGCCATCTCCCTTTTTCTTTAAAAACCCCTTCGCAAGCTGTTCTGAACCTTCTTTCCCCTCATTTCTCATTCGCTCACGTTTCGTCTCTTCAATCAGCTAAGTATTCCTTTCTCGATTCCTTTCTACTTTTTGTATTTCCAATCCTTGCTCCTTCGATTTCCTTCTGGTTTTTGGATCTGCTTTCGATTTCGTTTTCGTTTTTCGTTTTCGATCAGTAGATCTGGTTCAGATCTAGGGTTTTTGGGCCATTTCCTCGTTCTTGGTTGGTATGTTCCTCTCAGATTTGCGGAATCAGATATTCTAAAAACCATATCAATGATTCTATGATCCAGTTGCGTCGAATTCGTATTATGCACTCCTTCTCGGTTGTGTTTCTGTACTGGTTCTACGTTTTCTCAGAAACTAAATCTCTCTGATCATCTAGATTTAACACTAATTGATTTCTCTAACTATTGAATTCCTGGTCTCAATAATCGTTGGACATTGGATCAACGAGTTTTTTCCCTGATTAAAAGAAAAGTAAGGCGAGATATGGCTCCTATTCAACGCGAAGGGAGTTCGGGATCTGACTCTGACCCTCGTTATGCAATGATCGACGAGAGGAAGAGGAAGAGAATGGAGTCGAACCGTGAATCTGCGAGGCGATCACGGATGAGGAAGCAGAAGCAGCTTGAGGATCTGCTCAATGAAATAACTGCATTGCAGAACGAGAACGGCCAGCTTGTGCAGCGCATCAGCACTGCCTCGCAGCGCTACAATGAAATGGAGGCTGCGAATGATGTCTTGAGAGCACAAGCTATGGAGCTTACAGAGAGGCTGCGGTCCCTCAACACTGTGCTGGAGTTAGCTGAAGACGTTAGCGGCACTCCAGTAGATATTCCAGAGATCCCGGTCTCTTTTATGGAGCCATGGCAACTCCCATATCCGGTGCAGCCAATCATGGCCTCTGCTGAGATGTTCCAGTGTTGATTGATCTCTCATCTTCAATGTGGATTGTTGGTGCCTGTCTTGTCTCTGTAAGTCAGTTTACGTTAGGCTTTTGTAACTTTTATTTTCATGGTTTCTGTGTATTGTCTATCCTTCAATAAGGTGGATGTCAGCTGCCATATTATGGGATTTCTGTTGGTGTGTGCATGTTTGTAGTCTCAAACTCAATAATTTCTTTGAAATTATTGGTGCTTTGGATAAGATTGAACTAGTATGTATGTTGATTTTGGTTTATCTTGGCTAGTGATATACAACTTGTGTCTTGTTTGCTTTGATTTGATGCGTAAATTGGATGGACTCTCAGTTTGAAGTATGAAGAAGACATGTCACTTTCTCATCCTTGTTAGCTATCCAATACCTGTATAGAGTCCATTGAGTGCTTGTTTAGCTTGTGCCATCACTAAAAATTTTGAAATGTTACCAAAATTTTAAGTTCTTTTTGGCCTTGAAGGGCATATATGATCCCTAGCGCAATGATTTCATCTCTTGTATCCAACTTGAAATGTTCTGGTGGGTTTGTGTGTCTTTTGACAAAGACATCGAGCCTATCTTTAGATTTTTCGAGCGTTATGGTTAAGTTTCTAGAATGATATCACCATCAATGTTCCTTGTATGTCCAGTTCACGATTGTGGAAGTACCAGTTGCCTCTGTTCTTCCTCACCGTCGTTTATTGACTCTGGATGGCATTTTGAATTTGGTGGATGAGATTGGAACAATAAAGGATAATTACAACATGATTCATGAAGATAAGCCAATCAAATTGGACTAAAATCTAAATTTTTTTTTTAAATAACAAATATGATGAAACAGAATAGAACAGTCAAATAATGGTGATAGTAAATTAGTAATATCAAGTTTGACTTCAATATTAGGATATCGAATGAAAGATGAGGATGATATTTTCACCCAATTTTCATTTGTTACACAATTTTTAAAAGGAAAAGATTTTATTTTCACCTTTTTGAGAGGTTTCCTTATCTTCTCTACGGAGATTGCTGAGCATGTTGTCATTAAACATGAACAAAGTTAATTATTTTAATACAATTTGCAAAATTATTTATTTTCAGGAGTATTTTCTCAGCATCTATCTTAAAGTAAAACTTTTCCAAAAGACCAAAAAAAAAAAAAAAAAAGCGTCAAACAGATCAATTTCGTCGGGCTTTGCAGCTCAACCGAAGACATCAAAACTACAAACTCGGAAACATAGTCCGGATATTGAGCGCACCCGACCTAGACAAATTCCACTCGAGAATGTATCTGTTCTCGTCTTCTTGCCTATTCTTTCCCCTTTTTCGCTGTAAATGTGTTTTCACTTAAAATAAGAAATGACAAGGTAATTTCGCTAATCCCAGCCTACTTAGGCTGTCAAGTCCCTAAATACTAAGGACGGTCCAATCAAGTGAGCTCGAGCTCGAATGGATTTTAAACTCAAATTTAAGCCTACATAATCGAACTCAAACTTGCAAATTTTCACTTGGCTCATTTAGATTTAGACAAGCATTTAACCTAGTTTTAATTAAAAAAATTTGAAAAAACTTAAACTCATTTGAATAGTTATAAATTTAAGCATTAATTTAATTAATTTAATCTCAATAAATTCAAACATAAATATTTATAAGCACTTAACTTTACCCGCTAATAACCCTAATAACAAGTGACAACTAATTCTAAACTCGTTAAAATCAGCAAGATGTCTTTCAATTGTATAGTATAAAATATATTATTATTCTAATAATTAAACAACCATGTAATTCCATGTCCATGGCATAATTATATAACATCTCAAATTTCATTATCTACGCAATTTAGCACATAAATTTGCAGCTCAATCCTCGTAAGTACGGCACTCATCGGTCCCCGGGTTATCCTTGCAGTAAGCCTCCAAGGGATCCGACCCCTTCTTCTTGTCCCTAGCGTGGCTCGCCGCAGCGCTCAGCTCCTCCACCTCATCCCACGCCGCCACGCACTCGCCGCTTGCCGGGTCACCGGCGCACGCTTCCTCCGCGTCCTTAATGCTCTCCTCCACCTTCTCCGATATGCTTTCCGGAGCTGCTCTCACTGGTCGGGCATGCATGCGGCAGGACCCCAATTCGGAGACCCGTTTCCATGGTTGGTTCAGGTATGGGGTTTTGACAATCTGGGGTTTTGCCAGGTCGGGCATCCTGGCTACGACTTTTGGGGTTGAGAGGTTGAGACCGGAGATTGTCGCCATTTTTGCTTGCTTTGTGTAACAGGATACTACTCTGCGGTGGATAACCGGAAGCTACAGACCTACAGTATATAATTAGGCTCCGTTACGGTTTTTGAGCGCAGATACCTTATCATTTTGAAACCTATGAGGGATTTCCACGTATTACAAAAAGTGGAGATATTTTATGGAAATATCTAATTTTCATTTCTTGGAAAAAATAGAGAAAAAAAAAATCTACTTCTCAATTACTATTGACCACTCGTGAGAATGTTAAAGCAAAAAAATTTGTTATGTAGTTGGTATTATATTAGAGTGGATAATAGAGATTGTTGGATGAGGGAAATGATAGTGGAAGTTATTATTTTATTTAATAATTTAGAAGTTATTATTTTATTTAATAATTTATATTTCATAATTTAATATAATTTAAATTATAAAATAAAAAATTTATATTCATATACTTATTTTTGGAGATATTTTTCATTAGTAGAATAATTAAGAATTTTTTCAATTTGGACTAAGAGAAAAATTAAGATTTCTTCATGAAAATCTTATAGAATTTCACTAAACATCTACTCATAGGAATTGGAATGTTGTAATGCTAGGAGTCAAGAGTGTAATGTTTTTCCAGTAACAGTACAATGTTTTCTACAATATAATATGATATTAAATTTGATTCACTAATGGTTTCTGAATAAAGGTAATCATTAATAAAATGTTTTATCATTTGAAAAAATAAATACATTACACCATAAAAAATTAAAAGATGTTTAATAATAATTACATAATAAATTTGTTCAAAAAAAATTACATAATAAATTTTATAAAATTAATATTATACTGTAGTTATTTCTTTTTTCAAATTTCTTGCTACTTAACTTAAGATTTAAACTTAAAAATTTTAAATTAGAGCTTAACTTCATTCATTCTGGACCAAAAATTCAGTACAATGAACAGAGAAGTGTTATCCAAGCTAGCATCTTTGAACAATTAAACAAGGAGGAATGAATCAAACAGACAAGCACCTGAGCCAGGCGCCTGGGTAATCTGTGAAGGGGTACGGAGGAGACCACCGCTTCTATTTTCCATTCAGATTTTAGTCAGCAAAAGCAGCTGTTAAGTGTTAGCCTGTTACAACAATGCTACTCTGGTTTTTCATTTGCTGAGGGATTCAATTCTCAAACATTGTATGGTATTTTCATTAGAAAGTTCACTTATCAGAATGATAAAAAGGGATAAGAATTTATGAGAAAAAAAAATTTGAGGTTCACAGAAGAAAACTGGTCAGTAGCAATATTAAACAAGATGAGCATCAAAGAAATTAACTAGCCTATGGTGTCCATGAACTGCTGGTCATGTTCCAGGGTAACAGAATAAAAGCAAAATTGACACTGCCGAAAAGAAATCCCATTAAGAAACTTCACAATTTTCTTGGAACATATGTTGTGCAGATCTGATTACAATAAAATTATTCTTAAAAATCTCAAACAGAGTTTGCTCTTCTACATTTCAGAGCCAGATAAAGTAAAACGGGCAAAAAAAAAGAAAAAAAAAGAGGAAAGGATGCTGAACTGTCCATATTTTCATAACACCAACATGAACATAGGAAGTTTATTCTTCAGCAACAACACTAATCTCACCTTTCTCAAGCAAGTCATAGAAAGTTCTTGTTTTTCTCTGCTCATTCCAGTGATGCATCTTCCAAACAGTAGCAGCACACAAGCCTAGAGCTATCCCTATACATATTTCCTTCACAACATTTGGTCCTTTCAAGGTGGGATGAGCAACCCTACCACCGGCCATTTTACTCCTCTTCTTAAATCTATAAAACCATCATACAAGAAACAAACATTTACCATAAAAAAAATTGTAAAAAGGGCCAACAACACTGTAGAAACAAAGAAAAAAAAATGTTTTTAACTGCTAAAGCAATGATAGACTTCATGAATACAACAATGAAATAGAACATTATATTGAAATCAATGCACTCTTCTTACTAACAGTCATCCGGATATGGGGTACCTAAGCTACATGCTAATTAGAAAAGGAATCACAAAACAATAACTCATGACACAATACTCTATCCCTTTTTTGGTCCTAACCTCCTAGTATGCAGAAGTCATATT